TGAGTCTGGCATCTTCAAGTCCACCCGTCAATTAAAGCCATGACCCACCACGGAAATCCTTATTTCCTTGTGGACAAAGTCGTTGGGGAAATATTTTGTGTTGAATTAACGGAAGTTTTAATTCCCTATCAGTTGGTTGTGAAATTGATTTGTCCATTTACGTTACCACATAAATTGCCTTTGATTCTCTCTTTTGCGATCTAAATTAATTATTTAAAAAAACATGTTTGACAGGAAATTACCAAACCAATTGAAAATTTGTCCCAAACTAGACGGGTTGAGGTTAAAGAAGTAAGCAAGTAAACTAGTTTTCCACAGAATAACAAAATGTAAAGCATGAGGAACAAAATTAATGTTGCTTTGATGAGCATAGTTTTATTTAGTTAAGTATGGACAATCAAATAGCCTTCAAGATTTTATAATATTTTTAACAGCGTTAAAATATTAGAACTCCATCTCTAAAATTTTAGGAATTTCTAAGCTTTAACAAAGTGACGATACAACATTTCTACTTTCTCTTCGTCTAATTGTCTTGCCGTGTTGCAAAAATAACACAAAGGGGCCATATGTCTAAAGTTCGACATTCTTTCAATATCTTTTTTTTTTTATATTTTCTTTTCATTTTTTTTTATCTTTTTCACTCTCTTATATCTGGACTAGCCCTCAAACTCATTTGTGATCTTAGCAGGAGATTTTTTTTTTTTTATTGATCGGCACTTGTTTACTCTAGACCTACTCCTACTCGGGCCATTGAGGAACCTCAGCAGGAGATTGGCTTTCAATATTTTCGTACGCCAACTGTGGAGAGCAAGAAATTTGGCTATATTTCAGCCTAGGCATGTCTCCATCGGAGAAAGAGCCATTTGCGTTTTAACTCATGATTGTTTGTGTACTTAAACAGTGGTTGGTTGGATTTAACTGGAATTTATACGTTCCTGTGTGTAAGCTTCATTTCCATAATCAATAAAAGTATATTTTGGCTATGAGATTATATATGTGAGCCGCATTTTGCGTTAAAGGCTATATAAAAATTTTCTTGCTAATTAAGATCATAGCTATTGAATGAAGGACCAAGGAAAGGTTGAATTGATACATGAACGACCAAAGAGGTTATTGATATATTTTGCAGTTTATTTTTGAGGTGGAAGTATTGAATTTTTAGCATCTGCTAGGACCATGGCCATGTATCTAACAATGACCATTCAAAAGTTGCCGCCTACCTATCCAACTGGGAGTCTGACAATGGACCAAAGTCTACTGACAAGTAGCAACTTTTATGACAAAATGCATCATACAAAAGGTCAAAAAGAAAGTAATACTACAAGACAATTCTGAATTAATCATACATAGAAGGGTCGGCACTATTGATGATTAAAATAATTATAACAACATGATATCAACAAGCGGAGGTTGTTTGTATTTTATTGGATTTATTGTACCAATCAAACTTTTGTTGGAAACTTCTTGTTTGTCCTTGAAAAATTGTTTCTATAAGCACATAGTATGTCTTCTGGATGAATATTACTAATTTGACATGATATAATTTTCAACTTGCCTCAGAATTTGTAAACATTAAAATCTAGAGCTGCAATTGAAGGTTCTTAGGATAGTACTTCCGACATTTTAAATCACTTGTGAAAGTCCGACATAAAATGATTGTACTTTTCTAAGTTACTAGTACTGTAATAGTGAGTGTACGCATATTTGTTTAGTCAATTTATGGATTTTTTCTTATTAAGAATGAATATTCTCCTAGATTAGACTAAGAAATTGAAGAATTACTGAATCTAGAAAATTTAAGAAAATATGGCACCTATATATATATGTGTGTGTGTGTGTGTGTGTGTGTGTGCGCATGCGTGTGTGGTTCTATTGTTGTTTATCTCTTTACTTCTTTGAATCTAATTTTAAAATCTTAGCATCTAGTGCATCTTTTGACCATTTCAACCTGATAGAGTTTTTTCTGAAATGATAAAAAAAAAATGGATGCATAAAACATAGAGGTTTCAAGGAGATGAGGCTCATGTCCATTGTTTTAGTTCTTCAAATTCTTGATTTTTTCTTTTGAGTTATTTGAATTCTTATTTTGCTCCATATACCAGATTATACCTCGTTTGTACAAGTACAAATGAGTTGTTTGTAGTTCTTGATAATATGGTTTTATAAATGCATAAAATGGTTTGGTGATTAAAAATTTATATTAATGGATTACATATATATATATATATATATATCTTGTTGCTTTGATGCATATAGACATGTTGCTACTGTTTATGAACTTCATTAGTTGCTAGAATAGCACACAAGGTAGTTTTTGTTGGATCCATCCTTTATATTTAGGATCAGAAAAATATTAGCAAGATAAACTTAGAAGATAGTTGCCATATGAGGTTACTTACCCTTCCATAGATTGATTGAATCCTTATATGTAGTTGGCCTTTTAATTTTCAAATGAGCAAACTTTACTTGATTCTAAACTGTAAACATGGTTACGTTTGGTTTCAGAACACCTGTAAGCTATTCCAATCTTTTAACTTTGTAATTGCATTTTTGACATTATGTGCTGCAGAAGCATATTGAAGTTTTCAATTCCTAGGAATAGCTCAAGCCGGCCAGAAATTAAGGCGACGGTCTATATAAAACTAGCTAATCAAATTGCAATACTTAATTCCCTCAGCCAAATTACTGATCTGAACTGCATTAAATAGCCTTGCGCTGTTCCATTGGCCATTGCCAAATCTACAAACCGAACATTCAGATTCTCTTTCATCAGAGGGCTCTACAGCTTTTACTGGTTCTGAAATGTCATCATCATCCCCCTTTGATCATAATGATCTCATGGACTTTGTTGTAAAACAAGGCAATGGGGTCAAGGGCCTTTCAGAAATGGACCTCAAAACCGTTCCTAGGCAATACATCCAACACCCAGAAGAAAGACTGGACAAGAATCAAGTAGCGCATGATGAGTCAATACCAGTGATTGATGTATCCAACTGGGATGACCCAGATGTTGCAGCATCCATCTGTGAGGCTGCATCCAAGTGGGGTTTCTTCCAAATCGTCAATCATGGGATCCCACTTGAGGTTCTTGACAATGTCAAGGAGGCTGCTCACAAGTTCTTTGAGTTGCCAACTGAGGATAGGAGGAAGTATCTCAAGGAAAATTCTCCTACTCCCACAGTGCAGTTGAGCACTAGCCATAGTCCTTCAGTAGAAAAGGTTCTGGAGTGGAAAGATGTTCTGATGCATTTTTATGTGCCAGGAGATGAGAGTACAAATTTATGGCCTCCAGTTTCCAAGTAAGCAAATAAGTTAGGAGTTTTTCTCATATCTATTTTTGGCTTTTCTTCATTAGCCAAGTGGTGAGCAAATGAATGTGATTAGTCCAACTACATCTTTTGAAAAAAAAAAAATCAATGGGATAAGAAATTTTACTGGAAAAGTGAAATAGAACAATAGTTGAATCACCGAAGCTCAAATTTTCAAAATCACAAAGACAACGTAAAAGCCTGATATTTTTGAAAAATAGAGAGAGTGTTCACTTTTTCAGGGACAGGTATACCTAAAATTTAGCTATAAGATCCTAAAATTTAGATATAAGATTAAGATTATATTGAGATTGATTTACATCAGAAACGCTGTCAATGATTTGTAGACGTCTGTAACTTACAGCATTGGTTTGTTTGGATTGCTTCATATTTCCCCAATTTTATTTGCTTACATCATCTTTACAATTTTCAATACACCTTTTTATCTTCCCAATATCTTTTTATCTCACATACATCACATCACAAAAAGTGCTACAGTAAAAATATCCCAAATAACTTACAATCCAAACAGACCATAAGATATTTTCCTTGTAAAATTAGCCATCTAGACCACCTCTGTTTGATTCGACTCTTCTGTTTCTGTTTGATTTGACTCTTCTGATTTATTGACACATAGAATCTTGTCCTGTAATTCGGTCTAAACACACACTCTAATTTATTTCATAGAGATCAAGTTTTGGAACACATAAAGTGGGCTAAACCCGTAATCAGAAAGCTAATGGAAGTGCTGCTGAAGGGACTGAATGTGAAGGAGTTTGATGAAGAAAAAGAATCTCTCCTGACGGGAGCCTGTACACTCAGCCTCAATCACTACTCTATCTGTCCGAACCCAGAATTGAGTTATGGAGTTGGCCCTCATTCTGATATTTCGAGCATCACTATCCTTCTTCAAGATGACGTGGGAGGTCTCTACGTTCGAGCAACAAGAGCTGGTCAATGGATCCATGTTACACCAATCCAAGGGGCACTCGTAGTTAACATAGGCGACACGTTGCAGATTGCGAGCAACGATCGATATAAGAGCATCGAGCATTGTGTGATTCCTAATGCAGCGGAAAACAGGGTTTCTGTGCCTATCTTTGCTTCTCCTAAAGTTGGAGGAGTTGTTGGTCCTTTGCCAGAAGTCCTGAAGAATGGAGAGAAGCCGATATACAAAGACGTTCCCTGGTCAGCGTACATGAAACACTTCTATAGCAAAGGACATGATGGAAAGAAGACAATAGAATTTGCTAAAATATGAAGTTCATCCCATAATTTGTAAAATAAAATAAAATAAAATCTCTCTGAAAGCATGAGTGAGTGAGTGTGTGCGCGTGTGTATGAGTATACAAGACATCTCTAAATATGGTGCACACTATGCAGTGCTGAAATTTTGTGTTGGTCAACTTAATTGCAAGCTGTGCAGTGAAAAATTATGGATACTTCAGTCATCTCTGAAAAAGTTATAGAAGATTTAGTCAAGCATTGGATTAGTTTCTTGATGTTCACTACTAGAATTTCAGAATAAAAGAGGATTTTCAGTCATTGCTCAAAATTAGGATATTAGAATAATTACATAGATTTATTATCTGGACAAATGTTATGCAACATATAATTCTTGAACAATGAGTGCTTTTTTTTTTTTTTTTTTTTTGGAACAGGACATCAAGAATCTTTAACACCCCTGAAATATCACAAACTCCATTTCTATAACATTTTAGGAATATCAGTCCTTTGAAAGCAAATTTAAAGTATCAGAATCCAAATTTAGACTTCTTAAAGTATTACATTTAGGAATGTTCCCATTCAGAGTTGCGCCAACACTCATGATCTGGTCCTGATAGCAGAGCTGGTTGAGCTAAGGTACTTGGCTGCCCGGTTTTGTACAAAAGAAATCCCATCAGAAATTGCTAATCTCTGCAATCTGGAAAGTTTAATTGTGAAAGGAGGCTATTTGGCATATGGAAAGATTGAGGCATATTCATATCATCGGTGCTTTTTTCCGTTTCCCGCACTACAGTCAGGAATCTTTTGATAAATTGGAATGAGTAATTTGAAAACCATTTCTACTCTTTTTCTAAATCATGGAAGTAATGTTTCAACGATCATGTTGGGTAGGCTATCTGGGCTGCAGAAACTCAGATGCATATTTACAAAATGTTGGGATGATTGCAACAGCTTTCCAGAATTGAGCTGTTTGAGTCGACTTGAATCTCTTAAAGTTTGCTTCTCTGGTAAGGTTCACAGTCCTTCCAAGTTTAGCTTTCCTGCAAATCTCAAAAAGTTGATGCTATCAAGTTTTCAACTACCATGGAATGAGATCTCAGCCATTGGAAGATTTCCCAATCTTGAAGTTCTCAAATTATTAGACAGAGCATTTGAAGAGCAACAGTGGGAAATGAATGAGGGAGAATTGCAAAACCTGAAGTTCTTGAAATTGGATTTGCTGAACATTACAACATGGATTGTATCTAGTGAGCATCTTCGCAGTCTTGAGCAAATTGTATTGCACAGATGTAAACATCTTCAAGAAATCCCTTCAGGTTTAGGAGAAATTCCAACACTAGAGATTATTGAGATGAGGGGGTGCAGTCCCTCTGCCAAGAATTCTGTCAAGCTGATTCAGAAAGAACAGAGTGATTTAGAAAATGATCAGCCTGAAGTCCACATCTAAAAATTCACATTGGTCTTTCATATCTTCATTGAAGGTAAACTAGAGGCGCAATTGCATCTAAACATCTTCTCTCTCTCTCTCTCTCTCTCTCTCTCTCTCTCAAAATCTGTTGCTGCTATGCACACCATTGAATATTCTCTCAAATTTGTGTTTTTTGTTGTTGCAGGTTCTGTTGCTAAACCTGCTGTTCTCAGGTTTATCCATGCATAATTTGTATCAGAGATCATTCACATGCTTTTATCCAGCCTTGAGAAATTTCTTCAGTTGTAATACTAAAGCTCGACTCAATTAACGTTCATCAAATACTCCTTGAACACAATTTCTAAGCTCCTTTTTGTTTCTGTTGTAAATCCTTCTGCAATGTAGTGTCATCTTCTCCTGGACAGTGATCACTTCATCCCTCCAAAATGCTCAACATAATGGAAAAGAGCCAGTTTGTTCTGGCTCGGTTCTGATATGATAGTGCAACCCTCAGCCCCATTAAGGTGGATCAAACTTACTTCAAGCTTAACACAAAACACTTCCAAGTGTTAATCCATCACAGATCACAATCAGAACACAAATCACAATCCACACATAGCGAAGCCTAGCGGTTGGGCAATTGCATCAAAGTAAGACAAATGTTGGTACTGCTTCAAACTCGAGCTGCAGATGACCAAATTAAGTGAAAATAATTGCTGACACGAGACAAAATTAAGATAGATAATCTTTCTCTCTTCTCTGGTAGACACAAAAGTTGTACATCAGGTCACAATAAGGTAACTTTGCCTCTAATAGGATGATGGAGTGAAATCAATATGAACAACAAAAATCCTTCAACTAATCTAAAAAGGAATTTCTGCATAATTATCCTCTATAGAAGAAAAAAATAAAAATAAAAGGTATGAACCATGTACAAGACCTATGAAGCTTGAGTGGGAAACACTTTCTTGAGACAAAGTTAATGTTGCTCTCAAGCCATATATCAACGTGTAATGTTATCAGCCAATAGATCGTTAACAAAATTCAGAGAAGGGTCAACCCATTCTCTATTTCCAATAGGTTCCTCTTTTTCTTGATTTCGAGTCTGTTCCTCATTTCCATCATTATTTCCAGCCTTTTCTTCATCATTTGAATCTGGTTCTCTAAGAGGGAACAATACAGCCCAGAATACAAACCAAATGAAATTTCCAGCACTCAGGGCAGCAAGCACCCAATAATAGCGATCCAGGCGACTCTGGTTTAATGTGTACTGAAACCAATTCCTTTTTCCCCCTTTTTCACTAACTTTACCTACAACATAAACTGATAAAACACTTCCAACGATTCCTAGCCCAGATAATCCAGGACTGAGGTATACAAGGTACTTTTTCATCGAAGGAGGACTCTGATCAGTCAAGAAAGGGGTAACACTGTTTTCATAGAACGAGTCCAGACCAGCTAGAAGAAAGTATTGTGGAAGAAGCACAAACACACTCAAAGGGATCTTATCTTCCGGTTTATCTAGCAGTCCATGACTTCTGATCACATGTATTCTTCGAGTTTCAATTCCAGAAGCAGTTATGCAACATAACAATGAGAAGATTGTAGCAAGCGCAATGCCAATTGAGGGAGCATACTTTTCTTTGCATGCTCCTCTTAAGTACCTTCCAATAGCAGTGTAAATTAACTTAATCCGTGTCTTTGATATTTCATAGAACACCAGAATGACTGAGTTAGGCAACTTTAGTTTTCCAATCTTGTAATTCATGTGGTTTGCTTGCTCTACGAAGTATGTGTTTCCAACAGAAGTAATGACACCACAAATTACAAAGGTGATCCAAATTGGAATCATGCGGATTATGATTTTTGTCTCCTCTACTTCTGTCCGAGTGCACAGTCTCCACCTATGCCTTTCTGGTTTTTCAATTTCAGTCGTCAATTGGATGGCAGCCTTGTCTAAGAAACTGAGTGAAGTGCATAAAAGATAGAAATGAGCTAGAGCCAAAGTTAAGGAAATTAAATGCATCATGCTTTCTAAGTATAGAACAGGATATAATAAACTCAGATTTTTGGCTAATTGTGCTTAGAGAATCTAAAATTATAAATCTTACGAAGTTTTCAAACTCTAAAACCTTTCCACTGGCAATGTATATATTTGATTGGAAAGCATGTGAACTATTAGATTTTAGCAAACTATTACAACCCATTGGTACTATTTAGAATGAGAAACTAGAGTTCCATGAATTTAGAGGTTGGCGGTAGTTACAGCATGGATATGCTTCTTACTAAATTTGACATTCAACCATACAACTTGTTGCACCACTATCAAGACCCAGTGTACGTGAACAAAATTCACAACTAAAACATGACTGCACATCGGATTTTGTAAAAAATGCACCAATTATGACAAACCTTAACCGTACCTTGCCTCATCTCAGGATTTTAATGGATCATTGACCGGAACAAAGTTTTTATAATTAAGCGAACAAGTTAATCTATCTTGGGAAGATAAATAATGTATAGAGAACAAAATACTAGTGGAACAGTTGTGTCAAACCTGAGTAGTCCCTTGGTATGAGGCAATTTTGGAGTGTTGGTGTCTTGATTCTCATAAAGCTCTGAATATTGCTTAGGATCTTCAAACATTTTGCATGTGGAGGCCACAAAGACTCTTAAAACATTGGTTACTGGACTTCCTTCTGGTTTACTTTCCCCTTTGTATGAACGTGTACCTTGCAGGAATGCAAGGGTTGCCACCAATGTACATATTGCTGGGATACCAAACCGAAGTGACCATGGTTTTATATATGGTAGAGCAATTAAACCAATAACAGGGACAAGGATTATACAAGCAGCGCCAAGGAGTTTCACTCGCTCTTTTTGCACAAGGGCCAGCATTGCTTCTATTGGTTGGAATTGAAGTTGTGATATATCAACTTCAGTTTTTGGAGTACTCTCAGCTTGCTGCTGCTGCTTCTTTTTCTTCTGATAATTGACCATGAAAGATGGGGTTCGTAAGTTTGGCATATATTTCAATTTTCCATCAGGCCCTCTCCTTAACTTGTATAGGAAGGACTTTGAACTTCGTTCAAACTTCGGCTCGTTGACTTTAGGTTCATCTGGCTTCTTTTCAATCTGATTGTCAGCGAATGCAACCAGTGAGACAACATGTCCACTTAATCCAACTGCTATCAATGCCAAAGCTGTGTAAAAGAGGGCATTTTGTGTATGACCAAGGCAATTTGGCTCGTAACCTTTACAGGTCCCTGTGGCCTTGTGTAGAACTGGTGGGGTTGACATTGATAGAAATCCCAAACCCTGTCAATAATTGCAGGCATGATATATTCAAGAAAGGCTAATCATCATCTTTAGCTAATGTTCTTGAATAACAATTTCACAATGGCCTTAAAATAAAGTTTGCGCATACTTCAAAAGGGACAAAATTAGCATTGGGACGGAAGATTCCTATCTAATCCCAGCAATTGATCACGGCAAAAGACATTTTCTTTTTAAGAGATTGCACCAGCTGGATTAATTTAAGTTCTTGCATCAATAGGCAGAACTGACTTTTGTATTTTCAGTTTGTTACAGGCGAATATTCAGCTATTAAGGGTTATAGAAGTTAAATCATGGAACTCTAACCAGCGAATATCGAGCTAACCAAGGGCTATAAAGGCTAAATCATGAACTCTAACAGTAGATTAGCAAGTATATTCAGTTCAATTGAAGAAGAAAGTAGATAATATATAGTTGCCCAGCAGAAGAACTTACAATTGAAAAGGCTGTACTTGAGAGGAGCAGATTCCAGTAGTTACCAAGGCCAGCATCCACAAAGATGAAAAGCACTAATGGCAGAAATTTAGTTAGGCCAGTGTAAATATTCATGATTCCAGCAGCATGAGTAAATCCAAGTTTCCAAACATTTGTTAAGTATGTCTGCATTATCCACATCACATATGTTGCAAGCATATCTGCCCATAACAGAACTGCCAACAGAGCAAGAAATCAGCAATATCTTTTGCAGAAGGGCCAAAAGCACCTATGAACAAATCAATAAGCAGAAAAGTACTGAATAATCAGGGATGAGAAGAATTACCCATTATTCTGAGAAATGCCATTTTCTTTGTGATCCTTATGGATTCTCCCTGTTCTTCGGCAGAGCAAAAGATGAAGAAAAAACAGAAATAGGACAAGGAGAAGTTCAAGAATTCCACGTTCTAGCCACAGAAAGCTGCATTGATGTTGAATTTAGTTATTCTTTACCTCAAATTCCGGTCTGTCCTTGCTTCCTAGAGCCCGGAGGAGGAGAGATTGAGAGAATTTCTCTGCAAGAAGTCAACTACTGTGTTCTTTCACTTGCTAACTCAGCTGGACGAAAACTACCTGGAAATGTATTTAAATAGTCCAGTACAGACTGCAGAGAGGACAAGTTGATGCCGTGCCATGCCGTGCCAATTATGGGTAATGGGCCAATGTGACTTCGATCAAAACAAGATTAGCGTAATGATTACAATGTGGTAATTAGTAATTACCTGGAAGCTCTCAGAATTTTAGCAGCTTTCCATTTTTATTTTCCCATTTCCTTAGTTTCTCTGTTTTTGAAGGTTTGACTGGCTTTTGGAGATTTCTTATTGCTAATCGTAGAAAAGCTTATTTTTGTTTTGGTTATCTATGATTTAGTTGTGATTTTCTGTTTTTTTTTTTTGGCAAATCATTTATCACATCGTACCTTTTTTGTTTTACAATTCAATTTTTCTAAAATTTTGAAAGTTTATGATGCTTGTGTCTTTAGTATTTGCATTTTAAGTAAATCAAGGGGAGGGGGGAGAGTGGTAAATAATGTTCATTAATTTTGAGGTTATACTGCCATTTTAAGTAAAATTTTGTCCTTAGTGTCAGAGTTTGGTTGGATAGGAGTTATTTTTGGATGATTTATTTGACATAATTACAGTAGCACTTTTTGTGATATGATGCATGTGAGATAAAAATGTGATTGGGAAGATAAAAAGATTATTGAAATTTGTGAAGTAAATTATTTTATTTGAAATCAAGTCAATCCAAACAAACCCGTTGTTTTGTTAGCTTATTATTTGAAAATAAAAAAATTTATCACAAATATTTTTTTATTTGTTTTCACATGCATTATATCACAGAAAATATTACAGTATTATTCTTTTAAAAAATTCAAATAATTTTTTATCCAAGCAACCTTGAGCTAGACTAAGAATATAACAATGTCAAGAAAAAAAAAATGGATGTGTCTAATGGTGTCCAATCAAGATATATTTTAAGTGCAATATTTTAGAAAAAAAAAATTTTCTAATGGTTACTCTTAAGGCACTCATTAAACCATTTAATATTCGCCTAACCTACCATATATATAAACATACTACCAATTATCATTCTCTCTTGCATTTATATACTTTTCTTATTTAATCTTGCTTACCTTCTCTTGTATTTATTTACTTTTCCTAATTAATCTTATATTTTCAAAACGGTTTGTCTAACGGATGCTTATAAGGTATTCGTTAAAATATATTTCAAGTGTTATATTTTTAAAAATATAATTTCAAAACAATTTGTCTAACGGATGCTTATAAGGTACTCGTTAAAATATATTTCAAGTGTTATATTTTTAAAAATATAAGATTAATTAGAAAAAGTAAACAAATACCAGGGAGGTCAGGTAAGATTAAATAGAGAAAATATATAATGCAAAGAAAAATAATAATTGTTAATATGTGTATATACATGATAGGTTAGGTGAATTTTAGATGTGTTAATGAGTGTCTAATGAGCACATGTTCAAAAAATTCAAACTTATATCACCACCATATCAATTTTGGATGTCTTATTCTAATATCACAAGAGTATTAATTAAAGAAGAATATTTAAAATCAGAAAAACAACTATAAGGAGATAGTAAAAAACATGTTAATGCACTCATATGGGTATTATCTGCAATATTTTTGGTAGAGAAACTTTTTAGGAATTCAAACTTTCTACTTGAGAAAAGTCAGCATACTTGTACAATTTCCACAAATGGAACTATATATGTCCTTTTCCATCAACTAAGAACCAAAAAAAGAAAATAAATAAAAGAAAGAAAAACCCGTGTTAGAAATTTTATCTGGGGAGGTACAACCATGTCATGCCTTTTCTTTCTTTTTTTTTTTTTCAAGTGTAAGTGCTAGAGTTTGAATTCGAAATTTTTCACCTATATTTGTTTCTCTCAAACTATTCAACCCATTCTTCCCTCCCCACCATGCTCCGTTGAAAATAGGTCTAGAAGAAACAACTCGTATATTTAAACATGGCAATGCCACTTGAGATAAAGTAAGTTATCTTATCAATGAAACATGAAATAAAATAATAGTAATATTGTTTCAATTATTGCAATATTTTTTGCATGGAGGCCTTAACAAGTTGAACGAAGTTTTGGAAAAGAATGATTAGTGGACATTGCTCCAATTTGTCAATTAAATTAAGAGTTCACATCATGATTAACAAGGTTATCTACCATCTTTCATGACATGGATTTAATTTCTAGTGGTTGCCGAGGCTCATTAATAGTATAACTTGTACTTCATTAATGATTGAAACGTTAAGTAAAACCAGCAGTACAATCCAGTGAGAGGAAAGAATCTTTGGTTAAAACAGATGGTTAAATGGAGCTAATGCAATGAATTAAAAAAGCTCGGAATTCCCTCACGGTTGATTTATTGCCTAATCCAGATAATTGAACTGATGCATTCTTTTTTTGGAATGCCAGTCCAATTTCAGTTAACTTAAGAAGCCAAAACTTAAAATAAGTTTTTTTTATGACTAAGAGAGAACACTGAGGGGTTTGTCCCAAAAAAAAATAAAAAATAGTGTTAATTGAGATTGGTAAATAGAGAGTATTGAGCAAACAAATGTTCTGCTTCATCTAAAATCATATAATAAAAAAAAGGAAGTCAAAACCTCACTGAAGTAGCCTCAAGAAAAGAAGATTTTATTAGAGGGACACATGCCAAATACACATGCCAAGCTTTGTTTGGATTGGGTTTTATTTCTCAAAATTTATTTGCTTACATCATCATTACAATTTCCAATACACCTTTTTACCTTCTCAATTACCTTTTTATCTCACATACATCACATCACAAAAAGTGCTACAGTAAAAATATCTCTAATAATTCACAATCCAAACAGACCATGGATTTTTTTCTTCATCGTCAATTTTTTAATATGGTAATTGATTTGAGATTTAAAATTCATCGAAGTACACTATTGAACTACAATCGTACAATGATGGGAAAATGCATGCCAAATAGGTTTCCCACTTTCTAGAACCCAACGCTTTAACAAACTACTACAGTTGATTGAGGCAAGACCCAGACAAAAGTTTTTCAAAGAGGCTGGCTATGTAATTCAAACGCCCATTTCCGAGAAAGCGAAGGGTTTCCTTTTGCAGCCTAATGATTGCACTTGAGGACAGAAATTTTCTATGATTGGTTCAAGTGTAAATGCAGAATTTTGTAGGTGTGGACGGATTTAGAATAACTTGCATTTTTGTCAGGGACGCGAGGTACGACTTGCCAAAGAAAAAGTTTGACTCTAATTTTTTATAGTAGCAGAATTGCGGCACGTCTTTTGCGAATAAGAATTCTTTAATCTTAGAATGGGTTGGATAAAATTGAAATTCAAAAATTAAAATCTTAAATTCGAACCCATTAAATTATTAAATTGTTAAGTATAAAATTTGATATATTTAAATATATATTACATTAAGTGATAAATGAATGGCTTATTATTTATTTTTTAGAGCAAGTTTTGTTTAGAAAATTTAATGTCACTTAATTAATTCAGATTTTTTATTATTATCAAATACTTTTAAACATGTTAAGATCTGAATTCATTAAATTAAAGTATTCAATTGGACTATCAAACAAGGTCTAAGCCATTTTAAATTGAAGTAAAACCATTGTCGTTGACATGGCCTAATCAAAGACCTTCTTTTGGTTCACTAACAATCAGAAGTCTTTTTTAGTTCACTAAATAAATTGGTCTAACATATACTGATATTTTATACATTATTAAGTTGGATGTATGATATATATATATACAAAATTTGGATTTTAAATTTAGATTTAAATTAATTATGATATATCTAATGGTTACACACTCTCAAATATATACACTATTTGTATATAGGAGATTAATTTAAACAATAATTATACAAAAAACTTGTCCCTTTATCAATCAATGAGCCAAGTAGAATGGCTAATTAAATATGCACGGTCTTCGTCAAAAAGCACCAATCACAGTCAAAGCGATTTAGCAAATAACCATGAGAAGACAAAGCGAACACTCATCCCACCCCCACTGATCACTCTCGCTGCGGACATTTGCCCCGTTGCTATCCCTAATTGTGAGGAGTATGTTCAAAATTCATACTTGTTAAGTTAGGAAAATTCCACCTCTAACTTCTTCCCTATTTTTTAAATCTCACTTTTTTCCTATTACAAAAAAATATTTTAAAAAAGGTAAAATTCTAACACATTAGAACAATAATTTTTTTAAAAAAAATAACAAAGATAGTTCGTAAATAAAATTGCCCTGCTCTTACGATAGAGAAAGCTCCTATTAGAATTTTGCTACTAGTAGCTCCCCTTGATAATAAGGTGATTACTAAGAATTCATTCGTGTAAGCGATAAAAAATGCTCCGGGAGTATCTTCTATGATTCTATCCCTATCCATCAATTTGATAATTTTTTTCTTCTTCCTAAACTTTTTTTTAATCCCCAAAAATAATTAAGAAAAAAAAACGAAAATCCTTGGATGCTGACAATCAATTCTCAAATACGCCCCACACATAATGTGGCCATTAGAAATGGTCCACGGCCCATGTCCATGTCATGGGCTCACCCGACAGAGTCTTATAGGCGTACTTGATGCATCAGTTTCTATCACTTTGCCGCCATGCATGTCAATTGTCAATCTGAGCCTGCCTCTTTTTTTTTTTTTTTTTCAAATATAAATGAAAAAAAAAAAAAAAAGTGCTGTGTTTGAGTGGTTTACTGAGGTTTGTATGGTTGGAAAGCTTATGAAGGACAATTAGTTTCTGATGCTGTACATTTGGTTTTCTTCTTGCATGTTGATTTTATCCTCTTTTTAAACTAAATTGCAGAACATATGTTTGGTATCTAACTAAAAGAGTAACTTAGTAATTGGTCTTCTATATTTACCTTGTTCCCTTATAACAAGGTAATAAGTTCATCACTTTTGTGATTTATGATTTAGTTGTACTAATATGGTTAGGTTGATGCCCCAAAAATTAATGGTTCTAGATTTTAACTCCCCGTCTTTTTTTTGCTTCTCAAATCTCACCCTTTTCCTATTAAAAATTATATATATATATATATATATATATATATATATATATATATATATATATATATATATATATAGAATGATATAGTTTACGATTTAATCTGAGGTGGAGGGCGGGCAAATAGTGTTTGTTGAGGGAGTGTGCCATTTAATTACTCCTTGAAAAGGGTTGTTACCTTTTAATAGTTACCACCACAAGCTTAATACATAATATAGGGCTGTTAATCTTGCTATATGAGCCAGGTTTTGGTAACCCGAAGCTCACTCATACGGTAAACAAAAAAAAGAAAAAAAGAAAATTGGACTGCTTTAAGTTGTTGTGAGGCTTATACTCGACTCATAAAGAAATCCATTAATACTGATTAATGATGATATATCAAGCCTTGTCTGACTGTGTGAAATTAGCCGTCAATAAATCTGTAACAAAACCCGCAGCTTCTTCCTGAACTCCTTCATTTCCTGCTTCTTTCTTGTCATTTGAACCTGGTTCTCTAAGAGGGAACAATACAGCCCAGAATACAAACCACAGGAAATTTGCAGCACTCAGGACAGCAAGCACCCAATAGTAGCGATCCAAGCGACTCTGATTTAATGTGTACTGAAACCAATTCGGTTTTCCTCTCCTTTCACTAATTTTACCTACAACATAAACTGATAAAACACTTCCGACTGTTCCTAGCCCGGATAATCCTGGACTGAGATAGACAAGGTGCTTCTTCATCGACGGAGGACTCTGATCAGTCAAGAAAGGGGTAACACTGTTTTCAAAGAACGAGTCCAGACCTGCAAGGAAAAAATACTGTGGAAGAAGCACAAGCGCACTTAAAGGGATCTTGTCATCCGGTTTATCTAGCAATCCATGACTTCTGATCACATGTATCCTTCGAGTTTCGATTCCGGCAGCAGTTATGCAGCATAACACTGAGAAGATCGTAGCAAACGCAATGCCAATTGAGGGGGCATACTTTTTTCTTGAGAACTTTCCAATGGCGTCGTACATTGACTTAATCTGTAACTTTGATATTCCATAGAACACCAGAATGACAGAATCGGGCAACTTTAGTTTTCCAATCTTGTAATTCATGTGGCTTGCTTGCTCTACGAAGTATGTGTTTCCAACAGAAGTAATGACACCACAAATTACAAAGGTGATCCAAATTGGAATCATGCGGATTATGATTTTTGTCTCCTCTACTTCTGTCCGAGTGCACAGGCTCCACCTGTATTTTTTTGGTTCTTCAATTTCAGTCTTCAATCGGATGGCAGCCTTGTCTAAGAAACTGAGCCAAATGCACAAAAGATAAAAATGAGCTAGAGCCAGAGTTGAGAAAATTAAGTGCATCATGCTTTCTGAGTATAGAACAGGATATAATAAATTCACATTTGGACTAAATGAGCTCAGATAATCTAAATTTATAAATCTGCTGGAAATTTCACAACTCTAAAACCGTTCCACTGGCAATGTAGATATTTGATTGGAAAGCATATGCACTATTAGAGTTTAGCAAACTACCATAAGCCATTGGTACTAGTTAGAATGAGAAAATAGAGTTCCATGGAATTTGGAAGCAGGGGGCGCCCACAGCATTGATGCGTTTCTTACTAAATTTGGCATAAAATCATACAAATGGTTGCACCACTATCAGGAGCCAGTATTTCTGGATTTTAATGGATGATTGACTAGAATTCAGTTTTTATAAACGAACAAGTCAATCAATCTTGGGAAGTTATATAATGTATAGTAAACAAAATACCAGTGGGAAAAAATTTGTCACACCTGAGTAGCCCCTTGGTATGAGGCAATTTTGGAGTGTCAGTATCCTGTTTCTCATAAAGCTCTGAATGTGGCTTGGGATGTTCAAGCATTTTGCGTGTGGAGGCCACAAAGACTCTGAAAACATTTGTCACTGTACTTCCTTCTGCGGGTCTGTTTTCCTCTTTGTTGCACGAACGTGTACCTTGCACAAATGCAAGTGTTGCCACCAATGTACAGATTGCTGGGATTCCAAACCGAATTGACCATGGTTTTATATATGGTAGAGCAATTAAACCAACAACAGGAACAAGCAATATACAACAAGCACCAGGGAGTTTTCCGCTGTCTTTTTGCGCAAGGGCTAGCATAGCTTCTAGTGGTTGGAATTGAAGTTGTGATAGATCAACTTCAGCCTTTTTAGTACTCTCAGTTTGCTGCTGCTGCTCTGTCTCCTGATTCTTGACCATGAATGATGGGAGTCGTAAGCTCGGCTTCTTGGCCTTGAATGATGGGAGTCGTAAGCTCGGCCTATTTATCAATTTTCCATCAGGACCTTTGCGATCCAAGGACATTGAGCTACTTTTACAAGTTGGCTCGTTCTCTTTAGGTTCATCTGGATCCTTTTCGATCTGATTCTCTGCGAATGCAACCAGTGAGACAACACGTCCACTTAATCCAGCTGCTATCAATGCTAAAGCTGTGTAGAATAGGGCCTTTTGTGTATGACCAAGGCAGTTTGGCTCATAATCTTTACAGGTCCCTGTGACCTTGTGTAGAACTGGTGGTGTTGACATTGACAGAAATCCCATACCCTGTCAGCCAATGGAGGTGTAAAATTCAAGAGAGACCAATCATCATTTTTAGCTAATGTTCTTGAGTTACAAATTCACAATGGCCTCAAACTAATGGGGTCACACATTCAAAAGGGACAAAACTAGTATTGGGACTGATGATTGATGTCCAATCCCAGCAATCATTCATACCTGAAGACAATTCCTTTTCAACAGTTAACACCAACTGGATTAATACAAGTTCTTGAATCAAGGGACACAATTGACATCGACATTCTCAGTTTGTTAGGGGCTAATTTCCAGCTAATTAAGAGTCATTAGAGTTAAATCATGGGTCTCTAACAGTGGAGTGGAAGTATAATCATGGTTCAATTAAATGAAGTAACTAGATGAAAAGGAGTTGACCAGCAGAAGAACTTACAATAGAAAAGGCTATACTTGAGAGAAGCAGACTCCAGTAGTTACTAAGGCCAGCATCCACAAAGATGAAAAAGACTAACGGGAGAAATTTAGAGAGGCCGGTGTAGACATTCATGATTCCAGCAGCATGAGTAACTCCCAGCTTCCAAACATCTGTTAAGTATTTCTGCATTATCCACATCACATATGTTGCAAGCATATCCGCCCACAACAGAACTGCCAACAGAGCAAGAAAATCAGCATCAGTACCATCCAGAGATCGGACTAATCCAGCAGCAGGGCAAATTCGGAACAGATGAACAAGTCAAATAAGCAGAAATATGTGGATGAATCAGAGGTAAGAAGAATTACCCATTATTCTGAGAAATGCCATTTTCTTCTTGAACCTTATGGATTCACCTTTTTCTTCTGCAGGGCAAAAGATGAAGGAAACCAATATTATTAGTACAAGAAAAGCTCAAGAAGAACACATTTTAGCCATACAAAGCTAAAATGGTGTTGAGAGTTTAGTTTTCTTTACCTCAAATTCCTGTCTGTCCTGGTCCCCTAGAGCCCAGAGGGGGAGAAATTGAGAGAACTCTACTAGAAGTCAAGTCAACTCCTGTGTTCTTTCACCTGCTAACTCAGCTGGAAGACAGCCGCCTGGAAACCAGGTGTTTAAATAGGCCAGTGGAGAGAAGACAAGTCGATGCCAGTGCCAATGGACCAATGTGATTTCGGTTAGATTAAGATCAATGTAATGATTAAAACGTGGTAATTATCTGAAGGCCATAAGAATTTTAGCAGCTTTCTATTTTTGTTCTTCTATTTCTTATTAGTTTCTCCGCTTTTTAGGCTTGACTGCCTTTTTGAGAATTCTTATTGCTAATTGCACGAAAACTCTATTCTGTTTTTGGCTTATCTATTTTGGTATTTTGTGTGTGTGTGTATGTGTTTTTAGGCTAATTACTCAGAATATCGTTGTAAAAAAGAAAAGTCGGACGTTTATGACTCTGACAAGGGATGCTGCAAATTTATGGTTACCGGGCTGTGTCAGCCCGGCAACCAAAAAGGTAAATTTTTTTTTTTAAGTTCTGACACAGCCCGGCAGCGGAAATTTTTTTTTTTTTTTTAAAAGTGCCTGGCTGCTGGGCTGACAAGGCCCGGCAGCCAGGGACTTTATAAAAAAAATTTGCACAAAACCTGCTAGATCGATTCTTAAGGGAAAAGGGGTTGAAAATATTCAATTACTACTTACTACTACTAGTATTTCATCCATTGATTTTATCTCACTAATATTTCAGCACCTTTCCATATAGTGAATTGCTCTACTAGCTGGTGAAGGCACCGGTTTTCCCTGGCCAAGTTTGCATTCTCATTTGCCAGTCTTGATTTTTCAGCACCACCATAAACTAATTATCAACTTTATTTCACCACCACCATAATTATCAACTAACTTGCATAATAAAGTGAATTGCATTAAACTAATATCACTAGTTTCAAAATTAAGCTATGCTAATTACATTAATTTTATGTATTTAATTTATTACATGCAGCTAGTATTTCAAATATTTAAATTGCCCTGACTAAATGGCTATCTTAATCAAAACTCAATATATGCCTCGTCAAATACATCTAAATTCATTTAATCGAACCTCTTAAAATTAATTCGTTCAACTAATTAAATCACTAAACTAATTAAACTAATCATATACTAAATAACATAAACTAATTATCAACTAACTTGCGTAATAAAGTAAATTGCATTAAACAAATAACACTAATTTCGTTAATTAAGTTGTGCTAATTACATCAATTTTATGTATTGAATTTATTAAATATGCCAATTTTAACGGATCAATTGCAATTAAACAATTGCAATTAGAATAACGGATCAATTGCAATTAAAATAACGTATCAATTGCAATTAAAAAAATTTAATTGCAAAGCACTAGGATTTCCTTTTTTTTTGGGTTATTGAAGTTGGGAAGATTTGGGATGAACATAGTAATAGCGGATAAGCATGGTAATAACAGTTATGCAATGGTGGATGAGTATAGTAATAGCAGTTAAGTAAATATGAGAGTATGGAATATAAGATGATTGTATATTATTTTATCATACAGAGGGTCAAATTAAAATAATGACATTTTTTTAACATCAAACCCATTGTCCACACATTGTATATAGAAAGACGTGGTCACGTTAAAAATGAAAAAAAATTGGTTGATTTCTCTCCTTTTTTTTTCCTTTTCTTTTGGGGTGTGTACATAAGTTGATTCTTTTCTTCTTTTTTTAATAATTTTTTTTTTTAGTTTCTCCTTTTTGTACTTGAGGTGTGAAAATATCTAAATTATTTTAATTCTAAAGTTTCCAGATGGTACAAAGGAGTGGGAAGAAATTCATGCAAGTGATATCATCATCATGTGCAACGAGAATAATTAAACCACAAGCTGTGGAATCTTTAATTGGGCATAGAAGTGAGTTAGTAAGAGGCAAAGTAGGAATTAATTAAAGAATGAAGAGATTCACTATATGGAAAGGTGCTGAAATATTAGAGAGATAAAATCAATGGATCAAATACTAGTAGTAGTAAGTAGAAATTGAATATTTTCAACCCCTTCCTTTAAGAATCGATCTAGCAGGTTTTGTGCAGATTTTTTTTATAAAGTCCCTGGCTGCCGGGCCTTGTCAGCCCAGCAGCCAGGGACTTTAAAAAAAAAAAAAAAAAAATTTTCTGCTGCCGGGCTGTGTCAAAGCTTAAAAAAAATTTTTGCCTTTTTGGTTGCCGGGCTAACACCGCCCGGTAGCCATAGATTTGCAGCAACCCTTGTCAGAGCCATAAACGTCCGACTTTTCTTTTTTACAACGATATTCTGAGTAATTAGCCGTGTTGTTAGCGCTTTGTCACATATATTTTTTGTTTTATAATTTTATTTTTCTAAAATTTTGATTGTTTATGATATTTTTGTCTTTAGTACTTCCAAATTAAGTGAATCAGGGGGAAGGGCTGAGAAAATATTCATAGACCTTAGGTAATATTGCCATTTTAAATATATTTTTGTCTTTAGTGCCATTGCATGTTCTTTATTCACTTTTGTATCTCACGTGCATTGCATCATAAAAATTATTACAATAATTTTTTTCTATCTCGACACACTTGAGCTGGACGAAGAATATAACAACATTGGGATTGTTTGGATTGTAAATTATTTGTATATTTTTTTTTGCTTATATCAACAACATATTTTTCAATTACCTTTATATTTCATCTACATCACATCAAAAAAGTGCTACAATTTTTTTTATTCAAAAAATTATTCCAAATAATTCACTACCCCACGACCTGTACTATGATTTAGAACTCATATCACCTCCATCCCAATTTCGAGGACAACTTCCACAGATGGAATGATTTCTTTTTCCATCAACTAAGCACCAAAATAGCTGGCCATGTTTGTATAGAAAGAAATAAATAAAAGAAAGAAAAACCTGTATTAGAAAATTTATTTAGGGAGGTACAACTCTGCCATGCCTGGTGACACTAGCAGGTCTGAGGTGAAACAATTCATGTATTTAAAGATGGCATTGCAACTTGAGACAAAATAAGTTATCCTACCAATAAAACGTGCAATAAAATAATAATAATACTGTTTCAATCATCACAATAATATTTTGTGGGTGAGACCTTCACCAGTTGAACAAGTTTTTGCAAAAGAATGATTAGCGGACGTTGATCCAATTTGCTAATTAAATTAAGAGTTCACACCATGATTAACAAGGTAATCTACCATCTTTCATCACATGGATTAATTAATTTCTATTGGTTGCGGAGGATCACAAATATAGCTCGTACTTCATTAGTGATTGAAACGTCAGAACTAATTCTTTGTATAATCTTGCTTGTGGAATTGAGCAATTAAGCCAAGCTGTGCAATTAAGTGAGTGGAATGAAATTTGATTGAACAGATGGTTAAATGGATCCAATGCAATGAATGCATTCAAACGGCTGGGAATTCCCTCGAGCTTGAATTATCTGATTCTTTTACTGCATTATTGCCTAATCCTGTTAATCAAATTGATGTATAATATTTCTTTGTTTTCGCATTCCCTTTCTCCTGGTCCAAAAGTTTTCATCAAGGTTTTTCTAAATTACTTTGGATTGGTCTAAACTAGAACCATATGAGAAATGAAGTCAGAAACTCAGTACTGAAGTAGCCTTAATTAACAAAAGAAGAGTTTATACAAGCCCTTTAATGCAGACGTATTAATAGGGATACAAGACTATTTGGTTCATGATCATTTTTTTTAGTATGGTAATTGACTTTCAGATTTAAAATTTGTCGAAGTACAATCGTACTCTGTTGGAAAAATTCCATAGCATATGGCTTGGTTTAACATCTCAAATTCAAGAAGAGTAAAATGAAGTTTTCATGCCCAAACTTTGACCTTTGTGTGGTTCTAATGTCCAAACTTTAAATGAAAATAAATCGAATACCCAATGTTATAATAGTTAATCATAGTTGGTACACTTGATGGATTTTTCCAAATTTTCACTGAAAAAAGTCACCAATAGTCGCATGCCCAACAACAAAATTGTAAAAAAAATTTGGAAAATAACCTACCAACTTGGTGGCTGGTTTAAGGAATAATAGAATGTGGATGACTCATTTAAAAAGAAAATAAATTAACCTAAGAAAATACCGAATCGAGAAAATCATATACGCTCAAAGCTCTCTTTTCCCTCTTCAAACACTTTTTGATAAACAAACACATAACAATTTTTTTTTTATATTCTTATTTTAATCTAACATTTATGGAAATCCTCTGAAAATTTTGTGAAACTAACAAACATGAAAAATTCCTCATTCTTTTGTTTATTCAAAAAGAGTTTGAAGCAGCAATTTTTCAAAATTCTTCAAATAGGCCCAAACATGGAATTTTTTTACAATTTCATTACCGGACATGTGACAGCACGTGACTTTTTCTAGTAGAAATTTGAAAAAATCGGTCACGTATATTAAATGTGGCTAAACGTTATAACATAAGGTACCAAATTACTCTAGTCCAAAGTTTGGATACCATAATTGCTCGAGGATTAAAGGCTAGTTACCAAAACTCCATTTCACTCAATTATACACCGATAAATTATACTCTAACCAACTAATTTTCAATATTTTTAGAGAAGTATCAGACAAAATTTTTCAAAGCTGGCTGTCATGTTATTCTAACCCCCATTTCTGAGAAAAACAAAGAAAGTGCCCTTTCGAAGTCTAATGGGTCCACGTGATGATCTAATTTTATATAATTGGTTCAAGTGTAAACGAAGAAATTTTTTGGTTCAAGTGTAAACGAAGAAATTTTAGGTGCGGACAGAACAAGCGTTTTGGTCAAGGAGACGAGATACTACTAGCCAAAAACATACTCCAATTATTTAAGGTAGCAGAATTGTGGCACGTTTTTTGCCAGTAAGGATTCTTAATCTTGGTCAGTCAATTTAAAATGAAGTCAACGATCCTCTTTAACATGATATAAGAAAGGCCTTCTTTGGTTCACTAAATATAGATTGTACATAAAATTAACCCCAACGAAGGGTCCGTTTCGTTGGACTGAAAATTTTTTCCTAGAAAAAATATTTTCCATCGAAGTCATATTCCTAGAAAATCACTTTCTCCCCCATAATTTTCCAGTGTTTGGTTATTAAGTGAAAATCTGATGAAGAGGGCGAGAAGAAGAGTACTAATGAGAACAAT